CTCACCTGACCTGCTGGACCACCATTGGCTCATCTGGAGGCCAGCTGTCTGAAAACGTAGCAATTTACTCTCCCTACAACTGTCACCCACTGTCTGCTTGGCCATGGGGCAGACATGGTGACTCATTCCATACATACAGCTTCACTGAGCCTCGTCATCTTAAAAACAACTGTAGCCTCGCTGCACAATGGGAGCCAGTCTGGACAAGGAGGCCCTGTTCCATGACAGAAAGGTGAGAGATGCTATGTTCAGGGCAGATTCCTGTCTTTCAGCCAGCCTTTTGGTCTGAGGAAACTAACTGCTTGGTTACCCTGTGTGGCTCTGACTCTTTATACAGTAAGTACATTCACTTCACAGTTTGCATGACATATCCACAGGTTGTCCAATCACTGGGTAATGTAACTATAGGCTTGTTCCCAGACAACTGAACAGTCAGTGTCCACTAGTTTATAAACAGAGATGTGATGTGTACAGTCACAGAAAACAAGGACTGTTTTGCTCAGCTGTCGGGTAAGCAAGTTAGAAGATAAACTGTGTAGGAAGCATAGGTTTGGCTTCCCCAAATGAATCTATGAAATGAGACGTCTTACTCTGAATAACGCTGAGTCCAAACAGGTGACAGTCCTTCAGCCTGAGGAGGTCACACACCTGGACAAACAGTTCCTGACACAAAGTCTTCACCTGAGGAGGAGATAAGAGGAGGAGGCTCTCACTTTCAGCTTGTTAGATATCAATGGCAAACCATCAAATAAATAAAACACAAATAATCATGCATAAGCAAACCCACAAAAAAAAACAAGCAAAAGAATTTTCCTGTTTCCCAAAATATCAAACACCTCCTTTACCTGTTAAACTACTGAAAAGTGGAGTAAGTATTGTAAAGTTATATAAATAAAACACTTTCTGACACTTATGCTGTTCCTATTTATATTTTGCAAGAAGCATTGCTTTAGAAAAAGTGTTTCTATGTCTACTCACGTTGACTATGATATTGAGCGTGTCGTCATTGGGCAGAAAGACACAGACACAGCGGCGGTCCTGCATGGTTTTGTTGTTGTGGAAGTTCAGTTTGTTCATCTTCGTGTGTGGCTAAGACAGGACAGGCCCCTCCACCTGCTACCGGGCCTCTGGGCCCTCCGATGACCCGCCTCCACCACAGAAGACACCAACAGCACCACACAGTCGCTGTATCCCTGCTTCAGCTGACGCCCAACGCAGACAGACCAGTACCTGAGGGCTCAGCAAGCCAAGCAGCACACACAAGACAGGGCATAGGGACCCAAGCTGCAGTCCGCCACTGTGGAGACACAACAGTGGGCAAAAGATTTGATGCTAGTGCATTGTGGTGTATACAAATGTATGGACTACAAAGATATAGTCCATACATAGACTACATTGTACAATTAAGATCTAAGTCAGCCTTGAAAAAAATATCAAATCTGAACTAAAAACTCTGACATGATGTGTGGAAATAAAAGACAGGCTGAGTCAAAGGAGGGAAGCATTTCTGTTTATGTGCATGAACATGTGACATCAGTGCAGGGGAATGTCAGTGACTCCAGAGGAACACTGCACATCTGTCTGGAGAGGAACTGATGATAGTAATGATGGCATGAAGGAAAAATATTCAGCGTGCCTCGTACCTAAAACTGGCAGATTTCTATCATTCTCTCACTTAAAACACAGCAAAACCAGAACTTTAATTTCAGGGCATTTTAACAAACCAGAAATACAACACAGCATCATGTTACCATGTTCCACACAAACAGCTGTTCTGAAACTTATGCACAGGGATGTGTCTGACACTGTTGGCCCCGTAAGCCGAACAGCTCCACATTTTCCTCCTGGCATCCATTTTGTCAACTCACCCGGTTCTGCTGACATGTTGTCAGCTGTTTGACTTTGATGAACTTTTCACTGTCTGCTGAAATCCTCCGTCGACAGCCTGACTGTCTGCTCGGACCCTTTCCTATTCACCTTCTTTGAAATGAAGTCAGAGGATCCTGACAGGGAAACACAAGCATTTTGCAACTTTAGCAGTGCTACTGTTTTGAAATTAACACTTTCTCACTAAATAGAATCTGATATGATCACAGAACAACAGCTAAATGACACTGGAATGTGGAAAAATTACTATACATTGAATTTTAAGATTCAGTTTTAAATTTCAACCTGCACCTGATCCCAAGTCAGGTCAGATGTTCAGACTTAAGCTTCTATTCTATGACATGTTCCTTTGTTCTCTACCAGCTATATACCTCTCTCTCTCTCTCACACACACACACACACACACACACACACACCTCCATGTTTAGCCGCTGTCCTGAGAGCAGCTAGTAGCTCACAGCATGAACTGTGCCTGAGGATGTGCGAGCCTCAGAGGGTGTGAAAAGTCTCAGAACAGACAAAAGAATGTTAGAGAACAATGAGACCAGATTATCACTTCCTCCAGTTGAACATCCCTCACCTTAAAGCTGTGTTGTCATTATAAACAGATAGGATGGATCACATTACAGAGTGAAAAACTATTTGCATTTAAAAAGATGCAGTCAATTTATAACATACAAGAGTTTTTGTAAGCCCTCAACCAACGTACCATAAACAAAATATCGGTTTCACTGCAGTGTGAAGGCTTCCTACATCACTTTAAAGACATAAAAATATGCATAAGTCACACACTGTTAGTCCTGCTTTTAAAACAAACAGCTTCAACAGTAGGAATGCACTTCTGCTGCAAAGTCAGAAAATGCTTTCCAGACTAAGTACCCACTCAGTATGCTTGTGTCTACACACAATGCTGCTTTGTTGCTGCACAGACAGGGAGCACTGTGGCCAAACTGGTCATAAATACACATACTGCTGACATACAGCATCAGTTCTCATTAAAGCTGCTCATTGGATGCGAAGTGTGGTGGGCAACCAGACGCTCAGCAAAGTCTGCTGATGAGCCATGACTGGGACGACTCCCTGTGCTGCTGCTGACCTTGACTAAACACACCACCGCTGCACTGCACGCAAACGTACACATTTCTACATGCAAACACAGACACATGTACATCAGATGCACCCACCAACACACATACACAGGTTGTGTTTCCGTAACTTGATGAGACATTACACTGACTTAAATTAATTTCCTGGACACTTACCTGAACCTTAACCAGAACCACTACTTGCCTGACCCTGACCTTCCCCCTAACCTTAAACCAAGTCATCACTTTAAAGTGTAATGATTTACATTTTAGGGACTTGCTTTGTGTCCCCATAAGGACATCAAGTCCCCACAGTGTGACTGTGTAAACACATTTACAACCCCACAACATTAGGAATACTAGGCCACACACACATAATGTTCCTACTCTCTTGCCACCATTTTCAGGTGCTACTACTGAACAGCTGAGCTGTGTGGCAGCAGCAGCGTTAATCAGAAGTCAGAGTCATCTAATTGGATGAAATGTGAGCCATGTGCATACAAAAATAACAACAATAATGATGACAAAAGTCACTGCGAAATGCAGCACAATAATCATGTTATCTCCATGATCTTGTTTTCATAATCACATGAAACCCAATATAGTAACGGAAAATAAAATTTAAATAATCTCCCAAGCCTAGTATTTTATTTCTGTGTCAGGTCTTTATTTTATTCATTTATGTCTCAGGTCACTGATTTGTTAAGAGTCTGGAATCTGTGCACAGGATGGAAACAGTCACACATCCAGGTTAGTTTATAGTTTTCCTGTTGACAAGTTAATGGTCCTAGAAAAAGGAACTTTTGAAGTGATATCGTGTTGCATTTTCAGCCAGAAATGTGATTCCTGACACATCACAACTTGTTTGTTACACTGTTTAATGCTGACAGTGAAAGCGGATGCCTATGTTGGTCTCATGTAGAGACGGGGCGATTCAGACATAACAGAATACAGTCATCATTGATGCGTTTAAGTCTGTTGTGTCATGTCTGCGCTACACACGAGACATTGCCACAGAAATAGAATGTCCCCTGTGAAATTAAAGGGTGCATTGACTTACACGTTGCACCAGAATTCTTGTGTGAAGGGAAGAAAGAGTGGGATAATGAAATTACTGCAGCTTTCAACCGCCCTTACACTGCCGTGCAAAGTGATGCAACACTAAAGTCCATCTAACGCAACACACGCACAAAGAGCAGCTTTCTCCTGCCTTTGAGCCAGAAACAGGGATTCTGTCAACGTGGCATGAACAAAATCCCACGCTGGGATACAGAAAGAGAGGGCCTATGTCACAACTACACCTCCCGTTCTCATTCTTTCCCTCCTCCACTGACATTAGAAGGGTGGAGAGGCTTTCTGTCCAGCCGTTGGATGGTGAAGCCAAAAACTTCCTCTGCTTGGAGAACGAAGAACAGAGCTGCTGAAGGAGGCTGTTTAATTGATTTAAGAATAGCTTCAGCTGTCAAAGCATTAAAAAGAGTAGAGAAGAAGAGGGTGAAAGTGTGCAGCAGAGACAGAAGGAGCAGGAGGGAGGGAGATGAGTGAGGCGGCGCTCAAAGATCAGGCGTGAAAAAAAGGGAAAACTGCTGCAGTCAGGAGAATTCCTCGCTAACATCTGCTTCCGTCCTCGGCGCCATGTACCCACGAACTGCATCGTTCGACAGCATCCTACAACCCGGAGCAGTGCACAGCAAAAAAAAAAACCTTATTCACTTTAACTGACTTAGTTTACATTATTGTAAATTGGTACAGGGCCATTCACACACAGTCAGTCAGGGTGTCAGGCACACAGAAGCCATTTCAGCTCACTTTTCAGTGTTCTCTAGTGATTGTGCAGCCTGAACGTTTTAGCACAGTGTTTTACAAACATTTTATTCGGGGGCTCACCATGGTGATGCCTGTCAGTCATCGGCGACTATTACATTTGCCCATCTCTAATGGAAGGAAGTATGTTTCATGGGCTACAGACGCTGACACAAACTGCCCCTGCTGAAAGGGCACAACTTTATAAATAGTGCCAAGGACTAAACCTGAGTGGGAACTGGTCATTTGTTTCATCAGTTCCCTGTTAAACATTCTGTTTATTCAGCTGAAGAGAAATGTTGCTGAGTGGCTATCTAAATCACATTGGTCATCAGAGGGCATTAACCTTCACAATGACACTTCCCTCCTCTTCTTTCCTTCACCTACTGACAGACTAAAAGCAGGGTCAAAAAACAAACATGCTTGACCACCCAAACCTCTAATTCTCATCTAAACATCTATTTTGGACTCTGGCTTGTAATGAGGTCAGGAAGTGGCTGTCGTTGTGTACCAGAAACATGCTCATCTGTGTATTATACTTGGTAAATACAGCTACCCTGACATTGTTAATGTTGTTATATATTTGCTTGCACTGCTGTCAACAGTGTGTGGATGTGTAAACAAGTAAAGTGACACTGATTTTAACAAAATCTGGGAGTAAATGTAGCTGCTCCCACATAAATACCAGGATGCCCTCCGTGTGTTTCTTTAGCCTTTAAGCTGATCTCAGACAGAAGGAAAACACTGTTCACTATTTCAGACCTTGATTCCCATGATCCCCAGCACATAAGATCATCAAGCAGATTTGTGTGTCGACTGTCAGAATAACTTGTGTCTCCACCCAGCACACAGGGACAGCAAACAATCCGTTTCTGGCTCCAAGTCAGATAAAACTGTGAGAAACTAAACCAGATTTTAACAACTTAGCAAAAGTTCTAGGATGTAAACTATGGTAATTATCCACAACACAGACAGAATCAGCTCCTGTGAGTACATTATTTTGCACAAAGTAAAATCTATGTTTCTTCATAAAAATTCAACATCTGAGAAGTACATGCCTGGGTGGTTAAATGTCACCGACATTAACCTCTGAAGGCCAGGCCTGTACACAGCACAGTACTGGAATGGGTAGTGGGTGGCCTCGAGTTAAATGACTACTCAGTAAACACAGCTGCAATATTTACCAGACATTAACTAAAATCACCGGAGAGGTTAACTCACCGGAAAGGAATCTTAACGACTTTTCACATCATTTAACATTTGACTTTCAATCAGCTTTGCGGCCTTTGTCCAGTAATGACTTCAGAAGAAAGAAGTTGGAACGCCTTCCTACTTGGTCAGTCGCTCTCCTTCGTGGTGGAGATGTAATTATGGAAGTGACAGCAAAATCTCTTGGCAGCCTTCAGGGACAACATTGAAAATGCCTACACACCAGATTCTTGGCTGCTCATTCTTAGATAAAGATTAAAATTATGGGGGGGAAAATCGCACCAATCAATCTGGGCTGTTTGTGCCACAGTCTGTTTCAGAATCAATTCTCGAGTCAATAAATATAAGCCAGGAACTAACTGGGCTTGATGAAGGTCACTGTCTGATGAGCATAAAAAGCACCAGAAGGGGTTTTAAAACTAATTTTTCCCTTTTACAACGCTGACTGAGCAAGGTGGAGCAGTGACCTGTGTTGGCTGGAGTTTAGCCTGCAACCTGCCACCTAGTGAAGGTTATCAACGGTGCTTAACGAACTGTGAGAAGTCATTTCAGTGAAGTCGTTCACAGCTGTCACAGCAAAGCGGTGTGACTGAGAGGGTGGGACAAAGAAAGAGCAAAAACCAGGGTTAACCTTGGTCTGGCTTTTTGAGACCGACAGCACTAAAAGCAGCCAAAGGACTCAAATTTAAATCAGATGTAGCATTCTTCCTTCTGGGCTTTGTGTCACACTACCAGTAACCAGTTTGCTCTACTGGACTGACACATTTACTCATTAGTCAGTTAATGCTAGCTTTGGACTGGAGGCTGCGTTTTGTACAGTTTGTCACCATCAGGAATCCGTAGTTTACATCACTGCTAAAAAAAACAGGACGTGATGGGAGAAGCAAAGAGCAGTTAGGAGCAGCCTTTGGTGTCATTTTGTAGTGAGTCTTCCTAAACCCTCTAGGCTGAAAAGAAATTAGGTGGAGTAGCTTTAACAATCATTTTATGTAATCGTATTCAAAATTTCAGAGGATTGCAGTTCTTATGTATACCAGTTGTCCTCTAACATGCAAATAATGATGCAGAGAAATATGAAGGTTCTTTGACAACAGTAACACACCACAGACTTAT